CATTTAGAAAGACACTCCCCAAACCCGATTCAAACTCCAGGAGCGGGAGAACCCACTCATCAGTTGCTGCAATGGGTCAGTTGCTGCAATAGGTTAATTTTAAGAATGTTGAAGAGCAGTTATTTGGCTAATTGTGTAGTCGATGCAATGTCAGCCCAGTAGCGGCCCCTGTTTGAGGCAGCTGGGACTGCTGCTGGAGAAGCCTCTGCCCATGGCCAGCCTGAGCCACTGCGAACAGGGACTGCTTTGCAGCACCAGCCCCTGTCTGCGAGGGAACAGGGACCCAGCTCTCCACTGGGACCCCAGAGGACAGGGACTGCTGCCGGACCAGTCTCAGCCCACAGCAGCCTCCCCTACACCACCCCCCTCCTGCTGCCTCTGACAGAAGCATCAAGGAGTGGGGGAAATGAGTAGTTGAGTAATTGACTTGACTACCTAATAAGCACAGCCTTATCAGGTAGTCGAATACTCAACTCCTCGATTATATCCCTAGTTAATTTCCCTCCCTGGTCCAAAGCTGTGACTTGTTTCTAGTGTGAATTAATCTCACTGCAGCTCCCCAGCACTGAGTCACCCTCAGAGAGCTCTCTCCCCACAATAGAGACCAGGATCAAGTCACCTTTTCATGGTCTCTTGGATTACTCCAAACCCAGCCCCAATGCAGATTTTAAAATTGCATTTCTGCCTCTCAGGGCAGCGAGATGACAACACTGAAATGCAGCATCTAAAGCTGGGAGACCAAGATCCCAGGTCTAAGCCCAGACCATGTCTCCCAAGCTGTATTGAGGGAACAGACTTAGTAAACCACAGTCACTCTATCAAGCTGGCAGTTTTCAGGTGCCCCATTGGGGTCTAGTGGTTACACCCCTTTGACCAAGCATTCCTAGTAGTGAGTAATGTGACAGATGGCAGCAAAGCAGAGGCGGAGCGCACACAGGCTCTCATGCTAGCCAAGACTTCATCTGGACCTCAGGATGACCAATGGGGAGCAGCCTGTAAGCTCTTCCAGCACAGGTTTGTATAGCACTTGTCCCAGAGGAAGTAACACCACTGCACTGGTATGCCAGGGTTCTCTCCCCAGCTCCGCCACCATCTGATTGCTTTCCCTTCACTGTGCTTCAGTTTGCCCTCACAACCTTAGGCCAAGCTATACAGGGTTCCTTGCATGCGAGGAGCCCCCTGCACAAAGGGCAGCCCCTGAGCTCACCCAGCAGGGGCCTGTGCACCACCTGGCACAACTGGGGGGCCCCTTGAGCTCAGTTGGCAGGAGGAGGCTATGCAGCACAGCTGTAATACAGGGCTCCCCCAAATCCCTGTTATTGTTATAATACAGCCAATGAATTCTGCACCTACTCTTATGCCAAGATATTTTATGCAGCGCCACATTTGTTTTCATGCTTTACACCCGCAACTCATTTTTCTGAAAGTCAGCCATGCCAGTGTTGTATAGCTCAGAAAGTTTCCTGCTGCCCTGAGCATCTACAAACTCGCTTGGGTACCTAGCCCCAGTGCAGAATAGAGCAGACACTTGAGTGGTGGGCAGAGACCCCAAGGGACCATTGTGAATATCTACTCTGACTCTCTGAAGGCAGACCCAAAGCAGGGTTTTCAGGAATACAGCCTGGAGAGTACACTCCAAAACCTTAGTATGTTGTCCCAATGAGTCATTACCCACCATGTCAAAAACGAACACCTTATTTCCAACAAGACCGTTCCCCCAGTTGGTCTTCCCAAGAACAACTTGTTCATACGTAAACTCCTTTGCCAGCTAAAAGTGTCTTTCATTCCCTCAGACAACAGCCACATCAGTGCCTAGCACAACAGAGGCCGACCCCTGATCTCATCTGGGTGGGTGGGGGTGTGCCTATGCAACATGTGGCACAACCAGGGACCACAATCTCAGTGCGACACCCAGCAAAACAGGGGACGTGATGTTTGATGTAACAGGCTTGGGGCTTTTCAATTCCATTGGCATCTCAATTCTTTCAGTAAATCCCTGCAACTATAGGTGAGACCTAGAAATTCATGCAAGAGCAAGGAGCCAACACATATCTAGGCAAAAAGGCAGAGGCTGGCTAGACTGCCAGTTGTGCAGAAGGGCAGCAAGACAACCAGCACCCACGACACACGTCCCTGCAATGGAAGGTAGCTAGAGAAATACCCCACACACACAGCCTGGGAAAGGGAGCCTGAACAACAAGAAACAAGGGGGCTTCTGAGGCCCCCCACAACGAGTCCCTCCCCCCAATTTGTCCACCAGCCCTGGAATGGGAAAGTGGGGTAACAAGAAAAGTTTGACACAGCAATGTCTGGGCCAATTCTACAGCCACAGTCAGGAAAGGGGACCAACCCAGAAGATCAATGCACATCCCTGGGCAGAGGGGAACCAATGCACAGCACTTGGGGGGCAGAGGCGCATCCTTGAGGGAAGGGGGCAGGCAGGGGTCTGCACAGCATCCGCAAGGAGGCAGCCCCACCCCTAGCACTCCACTTCCAGGAACATTTGCGTAGGAGGGGGGTGAGCCGGGGGAGCCCCCCCACACCCGAGGGCTGGCAC